ACCACGAAAACGCCGCCGACGTTCTCGATATTCAATTCGCTGGCACTGGAGGCCGGGGGTCTCTCCACACTGCATAACCCGCCGCCCATTTTGACCCACCATTTCTGCTTCAAATCGTAGAGTATGCCCTTGTCTTGGAGTACGACTATGGCGTTGGAGATGGGCGTCCGGTAGGGCGAGTCGGGAGGGGTGGCGATGCCGTAGCCCTTGTTGTCGAGCCACGAGCCGATCTGTATTAGGTCGCAGTCCCTCTCGATCTCGTACTCCAGGGTCGAGGACTCTGTAATGAGTAGTGATTTGGTGGTTATGAATGGGTTTATACTTGAGGGGAAAGGCATGTAAGTACCCATTAAGTAGGCGTAACCCCCTTTTCGCACCCTCTCTTTCGCCTGGTCCACGTCATCATAGACTTCGGGATTGGTTTCCATTGTATTAAACATTCGCTGATAAGTCGAGTGATTAGAGTTCTGGTGCCCAAATGGACGGGCAGATTAGGGAAAGGGAGATAAAGTGAATGGGAGAAAAAAATATATTTAATTAATTGCATTGAATGTATTTTGCTTAAAAAACTTCACGAGCGACAAGTGTATGTCGATTAAACAGAGTGTCTGTCCACTGATACATTTGGTGACTAAAGTGGGTATCCATTTAACAAGTTTTTTTTGTGCCAGGGATCAATTGTCTAATCCATTGCTGTGTTATAGTGTAATCCATTGGGGAAAGGCATGCGATCGTAATGGTAGTGAGGGAATGGTAGCCCGAAAATGTCTCAATCGATTGATTTGAGGGCAGAGTCAGAGGAATGGGTATTAAAATATAAGTCGATATTCCGACAAAAAAAAAGTTGTATAGAAAGTGGAGTTTTTTCGTGACTCTCTCTCTCTCTCTCTCTCTCTCTCTCTCCATAACTTAAATCAATAAATAGGACACAAATTGAAAATATTATATAAGACTAGTCTCTCTCTCATATGTATTGACCGCTAAAGTCATTAGATGTGAAGAGAAAGGCGAGAGTAAAATCAATAACGAAATCGTATGTAAAGGGAAAGCCGTCAAAAATTTCACGCTAAACAGTAAGAAAAGTTTTAATGAAATTGAATGCTATTTTTGACTTTTGTTTTTGTGTGCGAACAATACATTTAATAAACAGCTTTTCATTGGTATAAATACGTTATCCGCGCTAAATATATACGCGATTTAATGGCATTAATATTAATGATATACTGCGCTATCGTATTGCCAGCGAAAGTGAAAGGATTGGGAATAATAATAGTCTAATTGAATGGTACCAGTGCTCGGGAACCACTACTTTTGATGAGATTTTGTGTGCGATTTTTTTTTTGATGAATTAATGACTGGTTTATTGAAATGATTGCATTTCCATTAAGATATTGTTTCGCATCTGATTTCTATGTCACTAATACACGGCTCATAAGGCACGGGAGGATAGGGAGGTGTCTGGTGTCTATGTGTCTGTCTCGGAGACATATACAGAATATTCTGCGTGTTAGTGATGATTGTAGGGGAAGTCATACTTTGAAGAAATCGTAGGTGGAGCCGTCCTTTTTGCATCCGTACTGAATCGCGGTTTGCTTAGCCAGGTCCTCAACGCTGCTAATGGCCGGTGCCATACGGGATAGGGTGAGACTGGCGGCCAGGTTGGCCGTGTAGGACGAGATCATGATGAGCGTGAAGAACCACCAGATACTGGCCAACGTCCGGGTGGACAGGGCTCTGGATCGCATGGATGTGCCAAATGAGAGGTTAGTGTTCAATGGTTTTTATGGGGTTTGTGTCAAATTAATTATGAAATAGGTAGGCATACTTCGGGGCTAAGTCCGATCCCTGTTGCATAAGTGATCCCTGCAGTGGTGTGTGCGTAAAATGAGACAGTTAATTTTCATCAGTCATTAAGCATTTCAAGTATTCATTAATATAATGGAGTTTTTTGCTTACGATTGTAAACCAAAGGCTATTTCCTATAGAGAATTGGTTCTCCAGTTCCTCGGGCTCTGGATCGCAGGGATGACCCGAAACCTGATATGTATTACGAGAATAGGGATGAGAAAAAAGTGCAAAATTTTGTGCTAAAAATAAAGTTTAATCAAATCCTATGCTATTATCTCTCGTTTACAATGCAAACAAATTTTTCTCATTTTTCATATAAAAACTCAATACAAATATTAATAGGAAAGGGATCGACAGCCGCGAGAGAGAGAGAGCGAGAGAGAGAGAGAGCGAGAGAGAAAGAGAGAGAGAGAGAGAGAGAGAGAGACTATTTTCTTACATATAAAGCGAGAAATTTTTATTAAGGAACAAAAATTAATGGGTTTTATGTATGATATGTAATATATATTCACCCATTCATAGGGAGATATGCGGGCTAATATCCATAACAATAGGCTGATGCCCAAGTAGGCAGAGGCTAAATACAGCCACACTTCCATCTTGAAAGGCTTGAGAAACGAGAACAACTCGGGCTCCGGTAGCCCAGGCTTTTTAAATAGGATGGAGATGCCCAGGTTCATGAAAGGCATGGTGAAGTCGACCGCTTTTTCGCGGGCATAGGTCGCTGTCAGGTCGGCTAAGGCCAGGTCCGCCTGATGTCTCATGATTTCCCCAATCATACCGTTCCACTCGCCGGTGTCTTTGTTGGGCTTACCGTAGGCGCCGTCCGCCACGATTTGTATGGTATACCGGAAACGGCTCTTGAAGTTCGTGACGAAGACTTTGGAGATTTCGTTCAATAGGTCCACACAATAGCCGTCGAACTTGTCGTTCCCTTC